TACCTAAACAAGATAATAGAGGCAAATGTAAGATGAGGCAAAATCAGTACATTATATACCATTTTATGTGACCCTTTAATTTCTGGAGACTTTATCCCCTATGTATGCTACAAGACACAAAGTTCCCTAAATGGTATAATTTCCTGTCAATTATAACTCCAAGATACTTTATCTTATCAACAACTTCAATATCAGTGTTCCAGATAACGATTTTATACTGTAACTCATATCTGATGGTTGTTTCATGCAGAAATGTGTAGAGGTGTGGTTTCGATGTCTGGAAAGATGTTGAGATTGCCATATAATTTATTTGGATTTTTTTGTGAATCTTGAATAGGTTTATCATCGCGCTAGCCATTAGAAGCATCCAAGTTTACAGCCTTGAAAACAGAGCCTCCGGCAAATTAATAAACCTTTTTGTAGTGTTCCAGGGTGTGGAATGTACACTTGGCCAAACATAAAACGCATTTTTCTATTGTGTTGTATTGTCTAAATGGCCCTTTTTTATCACCTCAACAATGACAAAAAAGTCAAGTCAGTGTCATATTTAAACCAATCATAGCATAAAAACATGTTGCATTTACTTTTTTTCAGCTTTGACATTGACAAAAACTGTCCGACCTAAGTTTTTCAGAAGAGACTTTTTGTTGTTAAAGCCTGACTCACACTAGGCAAATTTAAAATATATATATTGCCTGTACCAGTTTTATGTTTGGCCAAGTGTACTCTTTTAATTTCTACGTGATCCTGTGTTATATATAACATTAATATTTTGAAATAATTAGCTAATCCGATACATTCATTTAGTTTGCAATGGTATTTTACATAAATGTACTCCATATACTTATTTCTACAGAAACTAATGGAGTAATAACTTTTAAATATAATATATTTCCATCCTTTCTTTATTTGAATAAAACATAGTTATACCTATATTTATTTTTAAAATATATATTATGGCCTAAATATATTGCGATGCTTGTGGATTAAAGGTATCAAGTTGACATTTTGTAGTAACCACGGACGGAAATAAACACTACATGATCATTTACATAGGATTGATTGATTATTATAATATGAAAATTTAATTGGTTTTTCCTTTTTTTGTTTCATAAATATATTGTCAAGTGGAATTTCACCTTCCGTCCCAGGTGTGTCACGTGGTCCAATTACCGTATATTGACATTAACAGGCAGTTTGGTGAGGCTTATTTACATATACCCAACGATTACAATTTTTTCTTTAACAAACATTGTGAAACCACTTTCGCAACTGAAAAGAAGCAAACACGGAGTCGTGCCGTTATTGTCCCAGTTGAGATTGATTTTTTTAGAGAAATAGTGAGACAACCTAAAAGAAATTCAGTAAAATTGCATGAATGTTCCATAAAAATAAAAAGGTAATACATATTTTAAATAAATATATTTAGGTACTATCAAAACTCATAAAAAAAAACGTGCAACAGATTATTCCATATTAGTACGCATAGCTGTATTTCTTCTGCATTATACCGCAATTTACAAGAAGCTGATAATTAACCCACAATATAACACCGTTTTATTATCAACAAAATTGTCCTACTTTAGAGTCTATTTTAAATATATTTCATAAAGTAAATGTTGCAAAATTTCAGCTCGATGTCGGTACGCAGGACAGATTTCGCTGTTAATATTTATTGGAATTATTGTCATTTATGCAGAAATTAATTTGTGATGGTCATATAGTCTTATGACTAACTGTCCACTATATAAAACCAGACTCGGCTTATACCAAACATTATACCAATATCTTTTAAATTCAAATATTCACCTTTTTGTGGTGAACTGAAGCGTTCAGTTGAGTTACGTTATCATTTTACAAAACATTATGCATCTGTGGAAAAACCTTGATTGAACTTCTGTTAATCAGTCGCTGAAGAAAAAGCATTCATCTTTCAATGCTACGGAATGTGTTTAAACTCCATAGGTAGGTATATATCTTTACTTAACAGAGGATTAACCGGTAGTGCTGAAATAATATGTCAATAAATCAAGAAGAAAGCATAAAGATGCCGCCTCCACCAGAGGTTCCGTCGAAGGTGACAAGGGACTTGATAGGGCCGAAAGTCTTCTGCATCCATTTCTCCAGAGCGTTGGTGTAGTTCTAGAATCGGAGCTTGATCAGTCAGTGGCTCCTGTCCACGGACCTAGTAAATAAAACAATTAGATAGTATCCACGATATGTTTCCTGTTTAGTTTTTTCTTAATGAAACCCTGAATCCTGATGATTATTGTCTGCTATTCAAGGTATCAAAACAAGCTGAGGATCGTGAATGGCTTGGATCCATACACCGTTTACCTATGTGGAGAGACTTTTTGGTTTTTTAATATGGATTTCGTCAGACTTCTTCTCTTTTGCTGCAATCCATGAAGCCCTACGGAGTACAGACAAATCGTTTTTCTCCGTTAAAAACCTGTGTTTTGTATCTGCAGGAACGGCATGAAACGAGACTTTGTCGCAATTAGAACAGCTCTCACAACCAAGTACGATACATAATGTAGGCATTTTATTTTTCAGACTTTCCACAAATCAAAAATCGCAATTAAACGTAGTGTATAAACAAACAAACACATAGAGTACCAATACAGAGTACAGACGCTTGGCATTAACCGCTATATTGAATTTTAACATAACCTCTAAATTTTTATATAAATGACAAATGTCAATCTCCTCAAATTTTTTAGTTTTCTACTAGTGGGACCAATGAAAATCGGAGATACCAACTTAAAAATTATCACGTGATGGCGGCGCGCATGTCCCAGTGATTTCTAATGGGATCGGCCATTAGCATTGGCATTGGCAATCCATTTTTAGTAACTGGGTCCGTGCTCCTGTCTCTTGTGAAAACAGCGGTCTCGTCAGCCAAGAGAGCTATAGTTGGGAGTGGGGTCAAGCTGGGAGTATTAAGATGTCATTGGTGTATAATAATATGTTGGACATTGTGGGGATAGTGGAGACCTTTCCGGGACTCCGGCAGTCATGTTCACTGATTTGGAATAGCTGTCATCGATTATCACTTGCAGCTTTCGGTTGATGATAAACGAGTGAGTGGATGAAGCAAGTGAGATAGTCTGGCGTTTTTATCAGTAGCAGTTTGAAGATAAGGCCTGCCACACCTTGTCGAAGGCAATAAAGACGCCAAAGAAGATCGCATTAGAGCATTAGTCACTTTTATGTCAATTTTGTCAATTATTCTCCCACATTTTGCTACTAGTAGTAATTGATAATTGAAAAACAAAAATTTTTAAATTCAAAATTAACTAAACCTAGTATTTAAATAAAGATTACTAACCAATAAACTTGTTTGTCTACTTTTAACACATAAATGACGTTTGATGCATCAGTGATCGGTATCGTAGTGATCATTTGACAAAACAGGCGTTCGTATGATCGCTCCGGTAGCGCTTCCTCCTGATGAACTCCACCGGGACATAAATTGCTAGGGCTCCCACCCAATTATTAGTAGGGTTCGGTTAATCCACCGCGAGCAAAAAGATGGCAAGCCCACGTGATTAGCTCTATAACTTCCAATGAAAAATCATGTGGATATCAGTCAATGCATCAGTGTCATATTTTAGCTCGCGGAGGATTTACCGAACTCACCTATTGGATTTTTAATCCCAAAGGGCAATCCAACGATTTGTCAAAAAAAATTAAATGGCTGCCAATGCCAATCGTCTGTACTCTGTATTTAGTACTCTGTGAGGTGTGTTTGTTTATACACTACGTTTTATTGCGATTTTTGATTTGTGTAGAGTCTGTGAAGTAGTAAAGTAATGAATTTTTGGAAGATGCGTTATGATGTACTTATTGTAGGTACTTAGTTGTGGAAGCCGTTCTAATCGCGACAAAGTCTCGTTTCATGCAGATACAAAATACAGGTTTTTAACGGAGAAAAACGATTTGCCTGTACTTCGTAGGGCTTCATAGATTGCAAGAAAAGAGAAAAAATCTTGTGTTGATACCTTGAATAGCAGACAATAACCATCAAGATTCAGGATTTGGTTTTAAAAAAAAAAACTAAACAGCAAGCAAATCCAGGATAGTACAGTACCTAGGTAACTGTTTGGTAGGTAAAGATTTGTCAAAAAGAAATTGTACCTTTTGCCGACATCCGAGGGTTTTCCACTGATAACTTCCTAAAATAAAAACTCTCCAAATTATCCTTCCAAGCACAAAAAAAGCACCTTAAAACACCTCAAAATTGGTACACAGAAAACAGTTTTTTGATAAAACATTTCACGGTTGTTTGAATTAAATTTATGGCGCCAATTTCATTGTTTGTCGCTTGGCATCGGCCGCCATTTGGAGTGGATTGCCCTATAGAGCGCATGTGGCACTAATTTAAAGGTTAGGTGAGATAATACTTCTCCGACTTTAAATCAGTTTAATTAGTTGTACTGATGTAGAATTAATAAGAAAATGAGTTACCTAATGGTGTTCCCTCTATTCTCCCAGGTAGTTGTAGAAATGCATGTAAGTAATGTAGTAACTTCCTAGGTATAACTCTGGATCAAATAATTTGAACTGGTTGTAAAACTATCAAAATTGTTGAAGAAGTTCTGGCAATGTGGCATTTGAAGAAGCGCTCAGATTAAATACTTATTTACTCGAATAATTACATGTATAACATTTTAAAATCATTCCGGAATGGTGGAAAATGTTTCGTAGTTTTCTTCCTAATATTGCTTTTTTGGACCTTAATATACAATAAGATGTCTGGAAATAAATGTAACAAAATGTATTCGAGGCTTCTTAAAAAAAAAAGATAGAGGATCCGTATTTTTTATTTTTGGTAAATCATGGCACCTAAATGCCTCCGATTATCCCAATTATTGATTGTTTGGTCGGGTCTAGGTAACCAGAGTATTCCTCAGCTTTTTTTTACAGTAATTATGGTAATTTGGTTCGTTTGTAGTCTACATTCCAAGAATTTCAATAATTTGATACTGTAGGTACCTAATCTATGTAATTTTAAAGTTTATATTCCAAGAAAACTAAGTAAAAAGGAAACACATGGCGAATAGGAGGCAGAACAACTGTTATTCCACGTCAAATATCACGAGTGTTTATCATAGATACAGATTAAATTATTGCATTACTCAAGCAAAGGGATAATTAAGCATTTATTACCACCGTATAAAAATGGGCTTAGCAATGTCTTGCTTATATTAGCAGCAACTATATTTTTTTTTTTTTAAAGTTGTTATAACTGTTTTCAGCATATTATTCAAACTAGGTAAACATGCATGCGGATTGACATGTTTTAGAGTCAGTAGTCACATTTGGCGTTGCAGTGCTTTTGTTTCACAGCAGTCATTAATACAGTTGTCTTATCAACGTTATGTCGCGTACTTGAGTAGCCTCTGTGATTCTATAGAGGTCTAAAATGTAATTTAATATTTTGATAATTTCTTTCGAAGTTTATATCAGTTTTGTCGGTATCTCGGTGTTTGGATTTCAATGATTAGATTCGAGGTTTTTTTTGAACCTTCTGACCAGCTTATTGTGTTTTTGCTATTGTTGCTATTTTTGATCAGCATGGTAAGTTAAATTGAAACATTTTTCATAATAATTTTGTTCTTTGTATAGTTCGCTCAATTGTAGGCCTCCGCTACGCATCGGTCTTCAAACTTTGAGCTCAGCAAAAAAAGACTGACTTCTTGACCTATTGACATAAATACCTATTATTTCGATGTTTGAATAATTTTTTTTAACATTACAACAATATATTCTAATTTTAAAAAAAGCTAATATTGATGGCGGTACATCTCAATAATAGGTACGTCGTGGTAGGACGATAATAATATCGATTCGTGGTACGCAATAGCCACTTTTTTGGACTTAAAAAAGACATGATAGTGGCACGACCTGGGGCAATCAGTGAAAGTATTTTGATAACTCAGGGCACAACATATTTTTTTATAATCAATGAAAGTCCTTTTTAAGTGAAAGCAATAATAATTAAAAATTGTATAATATGCGTATCTAGTCTCATCAGCTGCACCTCTACGATTTAATAATAAAACGATAATTAGTCAATGAGAGCGCGTATTTCTTTACAAGTTCCTACGACCTTCGTTGGTAATGTAAATGTAAATATGCCTAACAGTACTTATATTGACAAGCCTTTGCGACATTGATTGTTGTTGTAAGTTGCACAATGTACGCAAACAATCGTGGAATATAGTTCTTGGTTCTCACTTTAAAAAGTATGGTTTTGCAAAAGTATTTTTTTGTGTGAATGCACCTGACCGAACACTTGACCTTATATTATTAGTGGTTGGGTCATGGATTTTTCGACATACGATTGTCAAGTGATTTCGTTGTAACTTTTTCATAACAGAAAAAAATTACCCAAATAAAGCTATAAGAGAATATAGGTATCTCTTCTTTCCTCCACTAGAAATCCGATACAGATTTGTTTACTTTCCTTTGCTATTGATGTCTGAGTTATTATTTTTGGGTTCAATTGGGTTCATCGGTACCTTGAACCTCAAGCAATAGTGTGCCGTAACATAATTTACATGGTATCGTGTTCTATCTGGTGAACTTTGATTTGTGTCACACAACAAAACAAAACAAACAATATGGATTTTTAAGGATAACGAACCCAAAGCTAAAGAGGATGTAGACCATACTTTAAATACCTAGGATATTAAAATGAAATTTGAAAAAATCCAAAAAAGCTACAAATCGCGTTTCCTGCTTCTAATACTTTGGCTTTTTTTTTGAAGACATGAATTCATGTTGGCCCAAAAGTATGAGAATAATGCTGTGAAATAATTGTCGGATGAGATTTGCACTACGGCCCGGTTGTAGAAGCGCTCGTTCACCAAAAGTTCTAATGAATTGTCAGTGTATCCTTTCTCCCATTTTGGCTCGCATCTTCAATGTATCTCTGTCAACGGGATTATTTCCGGAATACTGAAAATTAACCTTTATTACCCCAGTCCATAAGAAAAGAGATGGATCAAATGTGGAGAATTATCGGGGCATTTCGAAGTTCTCCCTGTTTGGTAATATTTTTATAGATATTTTTTACCATAAAGTAAGCCCATTATTTCAACAGCTATTTTCACAACAAATCTGCTGGTTTATGAGCACCGTCTGTTAGAAGCCTCGGAGAAACGACGCCAGATGGATGCAGTTTACATTGACTTCTTTAAGGCTTTTGATAGACTGGATAATATGCTGCTTATCAACAAACTGCTAGCATTGGGAGTTCATGGTATTTTCCTCACATGGATTTACAGTTACTTGTCCAACTGCATCCAAAGAGTGAAAATAATATTGAGTCATCTGACATTATTGCAACTATCGCAAGGTGTTCACCTTGCCCCTATATTCTTTTCAATTGTTACATCAATGATATAGATGCCGTTATCACCAATAGTTAATGCTTGCTGTATGGGGATGACTTAAAAATATACAGGATTGTAGAAAAGAAGAGTGACTCTGAGACGATTAGGAGGGCTTGCAGAGTCTTGACAGGTGGTGCAAATCAAACTTAATGCACCTCAACATATCAACATTTTTTGCCGTATCTTTTCACCGTAAGAAAGAAAACCTTAACTACAATACTCTGGTCTCCAGAGTCAGTCGAATAGAAGACCTTGGTATTAACTTCGATACTCCACTTCGTTTTGATACTCACATGGCGTGACAAGTAACAAACAGCTTCTTGGCTTTGTGTGGAGGACATTGACTGGTTTTAACGAAGTTTCCTGTTTCAATATGCGGCCCCCATATGGGCTCCACATTATGAGATATACAAAGGACAGATTGAGAGACTACAGAGGTAAATCCTTCGCCTTGTGGCTTTCAAACAGGGTGTTCAGCGTGAAGATGTAGTCTATAGTGATAAAGATTCTTCCATCAATATACTATCTCTGAATCAATTTGGATCTCACACTGTTTTATAAAATTATTAACTCACTAATTGATGCCCCTGATTTGCTTCAGACGATAGGTCTCTCTATTCCATAAAAAGCTCTTAGATTTCACACAAATAACATTTCACAGAACAAATTATGGATATACTTAATAGTCCAATTACGCGCATGTGTGGGGAGATGAATTCTTCTGATGCTCGTCTTATAAATGTCTTTTATTTTCACTGTAAAAGAAAAAATATCCGAAAATATAACATTATTATTATTATCATCCAGTGATCCAAGTTTAGAAGGTAAAGTGAGAAAATGCCATCAATTTCAATTATCAGTATAACCCTCATAAGTTAAAACAAAGAAAACGGGAATTTTTCAGCGAAAAAACAATTGTTTACCAGAAGCTCCAAACATACTGTTGATAACTCATACTATGATTTTGTAGTGTTTCTGGTCACTGCCAGATTACACAATACGTGTGGTTCAGTCTATGGACAATGGAGAAAACCGGGAAGAAAACCTGAGTCTCAATCATTGGACACCAATTGCATATCAGTTTCGAGCTTATTAGCTCTTGTCAGCGCAATGTAAGCGAAAATCAGAGGAACAAGTTTACAGGAGGTTCAAACGATAAGGCAAGGATAAACATATGTGGCTCAATCTATTCGAAACCTTTAAAGCAAAACCAAGAAACGACCCGTTTGAATGTGATAACATTGAAAAAAAAAATCAAAAATCTCCTTCAGTGTGGTGGAATTTAAAACCAAGAAATTTTTCTTCGGAAAACTCTCTTGTAAACTTGTTTATCTGATTTGATATGCTTTCGCCTAGGTTGCATTGACGAGAGCTATAATAATCTACAAATGTATGAAATTAATGTTGAAATAATTTGGTCTATCTCTGTATTCTGTATACCTACCTGTGGGACAAGATGATGCAACATTATTAACTAGTTTTATAAATAATATTCATCATTTGTACCTACTATATTATCCCACACAAGATGATTTTTTTGATGTTTCTCATTTCCCTATAGTATATAGGGCTTTAATATCTTCAATCTCAAAACGTGCTCTTTTTGTTCTAAAAACCAATAAAAAGTCACCGAACACGTGAACTTATCAATATGTGAAAAATTCGTATGCAGCTGCGATACTTTCCAATTTTCTCTGCAACATTCATTTTTTTCTCGTGCAGATGGGCGTGGTTGGTGAACCGCAGACTGGACAATTCATTACAACCGTAATAATTGCATCTGATTCAATCACTATTTGCAATTGGAGGTCATTTACTTATCTGAAGCAATTTAGTATTGACTTTCCTTTAATTTTACTTCTGTCAATTTTGTATGAAATGTCGATTTATTTTGCCATCCACCAACTTTTATAATAGCGAGATATTTCAGATTTCAGCATGGGGTGCAACTATGTATAAAAATAAAATCTGACCTAATAATTATTATGTATCCACAGTGCTTCTGCGAATTTAGGTTCAACCAAGTTCGTTGACAGTTGACTGAATCTATAATAAGAAACTCATAAACTATATTTAGAACCCTATTCAGTTTCTGCCTGCAGCTGAGAATTGGTTTTTAATCACCAAAGAACAAAAAAGAACCAAACATAACAATAATAAAAGGTGCACAAACAACTCGCACATGAGGCAGTTGGGGCACGTATTGGTAATAAAATGGCCTTGTCAAATTTAATAAAAGCAATAAGAATTAATAATTGAAAGGAACGAATGGTTCAGAGTTATTAGTATGCTTGGAATGATTGCGATATTTCCAAATAGAACAAAGCATTGTTTCACCAAATGGGCGAGTTTTTTATTGATTTTCTTTGTTCCTTTTAAAGATTGTATCCTTGGTGGTTAGATTATCTTGTCCTGGGTTTTCCATCTCAGCGTCTCAAACCGATGTCAATTTCACAGCATTTAATATATTTATTTTCTACAGGGTGTCCCGGATAAGGATGCACTCTACAGAGATCTCAGTAACCATAAAGAATAGAGGGATGATTAAATTTGAAAAAAGTTGCGCATTACTGAGGTCAGTGGCGTCATATTTTGATATTTCGGAAATTCCAAATAATTCCGAAGATAGCTTTAAAAAATCCGAATTCTGTTGAAATCATTCTTATTTTTTTCTAAATCTATTTGAAATGATATCGCATCATAAATGCCCTTTCATTGTTGCCATTTTTTCCTCCTTTACAAGATGCTATCATCAAATTTAAAATCTGATGTTTCGTATTTGGGCCACCAACTTCATTTTTTTAAATACGGCTGTTGATTTTCTATTTCATATTTTTAGAGCTTCTGATGTCCAAAACCAATGACGTATCGCACTGATTAGAAAAATTTATATTATTGGCACTTTTCATAAGAACTTGATGTATTAGAGAGAGACAGAGACTACAATTTTGGTAGGAAATTACTAGAAAGTAAAAAAATACTTTTTCGAATAAATGCGATACGTCATAGGTTTTGGGACATCAGAAGCTCCTAAAATCTGAAATAAAAAATCCAGGGTCGTATTTAAAGAAATAAAGTGGATGATGGTTGAAGACGAAACTTTGAATTTGATGGTAGCATCTTGCAAAGGAGAAAAAATGGCAATAATGAAGTGACATTTATTTTGTGATATCATTTCAAATAGAGTCAGAAAAAAAAAAAAACAGCAAAATTCGGTTTTTTAGATATCTTCGGAATTTCCAAAATATCACAACACAACGCCACTGAGATCAGTAATGCGCAACTTTTTCCAGATTTAATCAACTCTGTATCTCTTATGGTTACGGAGATCCCTGTAGACTGCATCCTTATCCGGGACACCCTATATATTCCTTCGAAATAATACATTTTATTAACTTATCATGTTGTCGATTTTCTAAAATATGTTTATCTACTGCTACATTTCATTGGTCCTCTCTAAGATCTTATTTAGATTAGATACAAATTGCATGTGTACCTAGTAAAACGATTCCTGTTCTTACCAATTTGAAAAAACCTTGACAAATCCGAATAAATACTATAAAAGGTCAAAGACCAAATAGGTACCAAAATTCCAACTTTATCAAAATTCCTATTTTAAAAGAGTTCAGGCCTTTAACTCATTATAAAGGGTTCCCTTCTTCTTAATTCCTTATATGTTATGGATTATACATATTAGGGCTGGAATTAAATTATCTTATAGAAAAATTCACTAATCTTGTGAGTTAATTAAATATGTTCAACAAAGAAGTCCCATATACAGGATGAATCATTTGAATATCAAATTACGCTGATCGTGATATTGTAAAGTTTTCTTGGGTAATGCGTTGTTGTTTTATGATGGTTTAGATGATTCATTGGATTAAATAATTTTTATCTAAACAATTGTGAGGACAATAGATTTTTGACTTAAAATTTTATGGCGCTTACTAGCAAGAAATTATAAACTGCAACACAGCTGGTACCTATATTAGCTAACACTGGTAACAAAAACAATATAAAAGCTTAGATGTTTTACATCCACACTAAACAAACATCAACTAGCTTATATTATATTATAATTACAAATTTTCATCAAAAATGTGAATTGCCTACATATTAAGATTAAAATGACATCACAGAATTTCGCTATAAAACAACAATAAACTTATCAAACTGATAAGATTATCTCACTAATAAAAGATATATTTGTTCCAGATAAGAATGGAGACCAACATATCGCCAGTCAATTGGCAACAGCCCCTCTCATTGAATCGCAGTACAATAATTTTCGATATTCCTTATCGGAGAGCCAACATTTATCCTGTTATTGATGATACAAAATCAAATAAATCATTCCTTCACTCCCAGAAGCTCAGAGAGAGCATTTTAGAATCAAAACGAGTCTTTCTGAATCACTCATTAAATGATGAAAAGCCTGAAGATGAGCAGATGGAAGAAAAGCCTTTGCTGGGCTTCCAGTTAGACACGAAAAAAAACCCAAGTAAGAAAATCAGCTTTAAAATAAAAAAGCAGTCGTCATTGTATAGAAGAAATGGGGGCGTTCCAAAAGTTACCAACATACCTACAAATAAAGTGGCGGAATTAACCAAAAAGTTTAACGAAATGGTGGAGAATAGAACTTTTTGGGAAGAACAAAGAATCAAAATGTCTAGTGCAAATAGTGAATCTTCATCGAATATAGTTCATAGAGACAGTATGAGAGTGACAAGAAAACCAAGTGTTAAAACGAAACCATCTTTAGACGGCAAAAATTTAGTTATAATAAAAACAAGAAAAACTAGCATTAAGAAACAAAATAGTATACGTGCCAAAGCTGAAGTAATAGATAAAAAACTTGAAGAACAACAACCTATAAGACCGACAACCTTAAACATAAACCTAAATATTCCTAAAGCTATTTTGGAAACATCACCTAATGGAACCTCAGTTCGCGAGGCAATAGAAATTTTTGAAAAAAAATATGTACCTTCATCACCGACAAAACCTGCGATTCCAGAAAAATCACCTGCCGTTAGGAATTTAATGGCTAAAATTGCTACGCTGCCGTCATCTTATAGAAGACATGCTCAAGATAAAGTAATTGAAAAACACATTACTGACGAAACCAAAATGATTGATGAATCCATGAATGTTGAAACTGTAACAGAATTTGAGGATGATGCAGTACAAATTATTAACATACCAGCAGTGCTCCCTCAACGACGTTGCGACTCGATGTATGAAACTCTTAACTTAAAAAAAATCCAAACTCAACCGCTCAAAGCTAAATCTGTAGATAATATAAATACTGAATCAAAACCGGGTTTCGTATTACCAAACACTTCATTTCTTTGGAGGGATAAATCTCCTTCTAGTGCTTCAAGCAGATCTTCAATCAATACACAATTTCAAGAACGATTGACCAATGTTGAAAATGCTAAGAAGCCTCCAGATATACCTCCTAAGCCATCTGTTAGGATACTAAAGAAGAAAATGACGCTACCAGATGAATCTCCAATGGAAAAAGATGATTTAGATGATTATGAAGTAATTGGTGAATGTATGATTGTTTCAAATGAACTTAAAGAGATAATATCAGAAGATAACATAATAGTCAACGAAGAAACATTTAAAGGTTCCGATGAGATTACTAAACTCATAAATGAATTTGAGATTATCGATAGTCCTCTAACCAATGTTAGTAATATAGATCATTATGAGGAAATTAAAAAAGAAGATAAAATTTATGAAGAGTTGAGTAACATGAGCACCAAAATAGACGATGGATATGAGCCAATTGGACACAAACTTGAAGAAAGTGTATATGAACAATGCCCTACGCCAAAATCCGAAAATATTTACGAGACCTTACCGGCTCCTCCGATACCGTTGAGGAGACAACAACAAGAACCTCTACCACCAAGACCTCCATCTTCTAATAGAAATGATGACACTGTTTACAATTGTTATGAATCGATTTACACTAAAAAAGATGCGTTTTATGAAAGTATATATGGTAAGTACCTAACTTGATCACTTTACAGGGAAGCTCATACACAAAATGACAAAACTATATTTTATTCTAGGATCTCAATTGACCACTGACAGCGGTTCGAACAGAGACAGTGTACTTTCATCAGACCAGAAAAGTAACAGTCTCTATGGCCATTCTTTGCCTAGATTTGACTATAACAGTGACAATATGTACTACAAACCTCCCAGTGATATTAGTGATAGAGTTTCTGAACGCAGCGACGAATGGGAGGATGTTACGGATAATGAGGAAGGAGAAAATAGAATTATTGTGTAAGTATAATGTCAACTGATGGGAGAAGTTTGTGTTTTTTTTTTTTAAATTTTATTTTGTTAATAGTAAACTAAAAATAAACAATTGGCAGTTTACTATTATAGTGGCTGAGAATTTTTATATACCTTAATAATAAATCTTTCATAGGAGGTCAAAAAATAACGCCAATAACTAAGATCACTACTACTAATTATAGAATAATAATAAGGTATTATTCAAATAAAATGTGGTTTGCCTTTGGCATTTATTATTAACAATATATTTTTTACTTTCGATAGAGGTGACAGAATAATATGATCTAAGGTTTAAAATATTCAAAAGTATTTTTACTTTACAGTTAAGTATTTTTAATTTTTAATTACAGCGTCAGAGAAAAAACGAAAGGTCGGAAATCGGGATGGTCTCAGCACTTCAGGGAACAATTATCCAAAAGCTTGAAGGAAAACGTCCAAAGTGGTGAGGAATTTTTAGATTTTGAAAATTTATACCTATTTATAATGGTTGACTGTACCTATCAAATTTTTTGTTTGTGTAGTTTTTGAGGAAAAAATTCTGCAATAATATTTTTATTGTGACTCCTAGCTAAAATTAACAGCAATTGGAATATGCATCCTACTTTGCAATGATTTTTTGTATTCTTATTAGTTTACTTGTCTACCGTGGAGTACCATGCATTGAACGAACAGTAAAAGTTTTGTCAATATTTCTACACTATTCTTGACACGATGGCGTGGGGCGAACGATCTTCTTGGGTAATATCATTGTAATATACTGGTACCATTAGCTTTGCTTGGCGCCATCTATTAGCAATGACATTAGATCAGCTAAAAGTTCCCCAGTGGCAATATATGTTCGGAGTAGGATTATCTTTAGTAGCAAAGATGGAATCCTTTGAGTAACCCTAGAAAAATAATTTAAAAAAATCCTTCTATACAATGGTAATATGAAGAGGTAAATGTGGAATTTCAACTTCCTTATTTTTGATTTTTTTTTCCAAATTGCAGTATTTCGTACAAAGTGTTAGATATCTTTTTCTGTTTCATAACGTAATGATTTTTGAAAATTTGTTATTAACCTTCAAAACGCATTATGCAAATTGCAAAATTGCTAATTACAGCAGGAAAGAATGCCACCAGATTTTCTAAATTATTTTTTTGGAGTTCCTCCAAGGGCCTTCCACCACATAGTGAAGAGTTTTCACGCTATCTTCCAGACACCCTGTATACAGGGTGGTCCATTCAACAAGAGACAGTATGTAATACAATATCTCGAAAAAAAAAGTTCAAATAAAAGATATATTATGGTGTCACGAGGAAATAAAATTGTAGCTGAAGCTGATTTGACTTTGATAGCCTTTCCAAGTATAGTTGATATATTTCAAAGCCAAAAACGCGCCGTTTTCGAGATACTAGACTGTCTCAAGAAAAATGGACCACCCTGTGTATATTTTTGAAATTGCTAATAATAGTACCCAATACCTTTTTCTTGAATTATCTTAGGGTTTAATTCTTGGGATAAATGGAACAGATGTTGGTTTTTTTTCTGTTTGAAGACAAGTTTGGGAATTATATTTCTACCATTCGAAACACTGTAGATCAAAATTGGAAAAAAAAATAGTTTAGTGAATTTAAATGTAGTTTTCCTCTTTATTAGATATTTTTGGTAGATTTTTAGGTTGGTTGTTAAGGGAGCCATTGGAAATCAGCAGGTCTATGGCGATTATACATAGTTCTGCTACATAATGTCACGAATTTCGCCAATCCACCGATCGCTTTTACTCAACTTTAATACAACAATAATTCTCTTATTTAAACTGAGCGCATTATATACAAAACCATTTAATCGAGAAATCTCTAGGATCACGTCAATATAGTCCGTTGCATGGTTCTTGACCTACGGCTACTGGATAGACAGAGGGGACAATGGGCTATTGCTGCGTTTTCAGTTGTCATATTGATAATATTTATTAATACATGAAAATTGCAATAAAATTTCCTTCATTTTCATGTAACAATAAATATTATTATTGATATGACAACGCAGCAATAGCCCATTGTTCTTTCTGTCTATTCAGTAGTCGTAGCTCAAGAACCATGCAACGGACTATAGGTTCTTGTTTATTTGAATCACACAATAGAATTCCTAGTCGAGAGTTGCGTTCGGGTGGTTTACAGTGGCAGTATTGGCTTTTCCGCACCATTGTAATTTCTTAACACTGCCTCCCTCTCAAAGTAGATTATCCCGATCCGACCATTTATTCTCCTGATAAGCCTTCACCCTCTCAACATGCTTCACCCTTACTCCGATCCACGATGATTCCATCTCCCTACTACCTGCAGCCTGCAGTACAACTTGCCTTTCGGGATCCTTACAGAACCTCGTTTTTGGAAATATGTAACGTCATCTAGATCTATGTTCTTCGTCATACTCTTAATCATTCATCATCTCATCCATCAACATGCTTTAACATCTCTATGCCTGTCAAATGAATGCCCTTTGAGGATGTGTATCCAAGTCTACGATTACACCTGAGTGAGTGGTTTTTCTTTCCAGGATTGACGTTAAAAGAATGGACATTTCTTCCTTGACGACTGCCATGCTGCCAGTCGCCTTGTTTGCGTATTCGCGGATGGTAGTAGCACTTTTAGTATCTATTCCTCGTCTTAAGATTACGATGTTCAATCCATTCTTGCTGAAATTTGAAATTTCCCTGGCATGTCTTCGACGTTCCTCTTTTTCTGTTGTATGAAGTGCCGCAAGTCGGTCCTGTTCTTCTTGTTTTCGGGCTTCTTCTTTTTGCCTTTGTTTCGGTCTTCGGGCTTTCTCTTCTTGTAATTTTTCTTGTCATCGGTGTTCTTCAGTTGGTCTTTCGTCATTTTCTTCCCACTTCCTCTTCTCGTCTTTATTTTGATCTCTGATCTTCTTGTTGTTGTAAAAGGGCTGCAAGCCTTTCCTGTTGTTCTTGTGTCTTATCACCATTTCGGTGGCAAAATTCCCGTAATTTGTCTTATTTTCAAATAGGCACGGATGGAGTGTTCCATAAAAAACACTTGGACTTGTTTTCCGATGTCAAAACCATTGAAAAAGTCACTATTCTAGTTCAACAAAAGTTCACTCATTTTCACCACTAATAAGCTCGAATCGCTAAATCTCTAGAATCACATTATAACTCTAATATTTGCACTCCTGTCATCACTTGTGGCGACGGCATCTCCGCACCAATATAATTTTGTACCAATAAATTTTCTTGAAATTTATTTCTACCAAAACCCCCGGTTTTTAAATTTAAAATTTATTTGAATTCAAGTTCTATAAGGATCAATAATTGCCCGTTTTCGTTGTAAAACTTGAAACCCTGTATAAAATTATACATAACTAAAAATTCATGATCTCCGTTTCCTAGGAAAAACCGAGTTTCTCTCTGCAATTATTAGGCTCATCATTTCATTAATCTTTGATGTAACAACGATAAAATCAGAAGACATGCTCGAGTCGCTTTTCCGCCATTCTAAATACGTTTGTGAGAATAGGTAATCCGGATGCGTAATGAATTTGATTTAAAATGATTTTATTCTGTTAAAATTTGATACAAATACCTATGTACTGAAAATTATTTATTAGAGGGATTACCATTTTGATGTGAGAAATGTTTTCCTTTCCTAGTGTAGTTTGCAGGTTGAGCATACATTTACGTGTTTATTATACATTACTTGTAGATCTCTCCCCAATCCACTTTTTTGGTAGCTAGTAATAATGTGATGAATAGCCAGTAGATAAAAAAAAAAAAATGTCAATTCGTGCACATAACTTTGGTTAGTTTGAAGTTTGGTTGGAAATACTAACCGAAATGTATAGAAACTATTTGAACACACATCTTGATAAAAAAAACTTATGTTCACACATAAAGACCAGGTCGTGTGGTGGTCGTATGACACCGTTGCGACATAACCTTAAGTCGTTTGATAGGTACAACTTTTATACAAAATTGTTATTTGGGAAGATGGCGGCTGAAGCTCAAATGCATTGCCGCCCCAATTGAGTTTTGCACTGGGAGTACCTATGTGTCTGAATCATAGACAAAAAAATCTTCATGTAGCAGTCGAGAAGTATCTACCTAACTTGGAGTTCAATTCTCTTTAGGTACGTGATGTATGTAGTTTAGTTAGAGCCTCAAAACTGAGTAAATCAAGTCTTACTCATTTAGGTCATATAGAGCCCCTGGACTTCTAATTGCTAATGTCAATAAAGTATGACAACATAACATGATATCAAAAAATTAAACAATTTACTCCGCCCGGTGCGGCAAACCGCACGGACCTTGCTTGATTACTATTAGATTACAGCAACCCAAAGTATCATGATTACTAAATTGCAAGCGGACAATTTCATTTATTCAAACAGGTTGCCTTCAAAGTCGCGGTTCGCGGCGGTGGTACCGTGCCGTTGAGTTCGAGGCTGATATCATTCCAAACCCACGGCTCTGATGACGGGACGGCAGGACGGGTTACAGAATGTTTCGATGTTGCCAACAACCCAAATTTCCCAGAATGATGAAAATTTTCGTTGTTCGCTTATAATCTATCACAGTCAGAAAAATTGCAATGTATCCCAACAAAGTCACCCAAAGACTGGCAATTTTTCTGAAAGAATAATGATAACAATAATAGGCATTGGTTAGAAATACTACAACCCAATTTGTGAATTCATGGATAAGATCTATCTGGGATAGATAAGATAAGACCTAATAAAGACCAAAGATACCAAAAAGTAGGACAAAAATATCCGATTTTCAAAATGTCAGAAGAAGCTTTCACAGATTAATTTTTGGTAAACAGCAAAAAAAAGAGTTTGCTTAAAAATAAATAAAGGTGGCATATTAGTAATGATAAGAAGAAAAATATTAACAAAAAAACTAAAAAAAGCATAGATAAAAAAAAAGTATGTTTTTCTTCTATATCAAAAGGAAGAAATCCATCTTTTGACCAATATTGAAGTCCTCATCTGCTACTTGGGTAATAACAATGAACCAGACAATGACAAACAAAACATTCTACAAACTTATTCAAGAAGAATGATGGATAATGTAGAAATAAGAAGATCTTAAATAATTATTGGAAAAATGTATATACCAAAACACGTAAAGCTGGTGCGGAATGTCAAAATAGAAGTCCAAGAAAGAATTGGAACAATGTAATAGAAAAACGAAAAAAAAATAAAAAATGGCACAAATATATATAGGTGAATTATTGAGAGCATCACTAAATCTCAAGTAGGTATCATCTACCAAACGATGCGTCCTTCTCCATATTGAGATCCTTGTTGACTCCACAGTTGTTAACTTATTGGAAAAAACGGGACAATTGCCAGTTCGCTGTAATGGCAATGGCAGGAAAGAAACAGATGCTGGCGAATAATGTTTCAAATGAAAATAGAAGATCGATCAATTCTGTATGATC